TGGGGGGTAAATACCCAGAAGTGGAATTGCTGAATCATATGATAATTCTATGTTTAATTTTTTGAAGACTGTCCACAGTGTTTTCCACAGGAACTACACTATTTTTCATTCCTGCCAGCAATGCGCATTTTTCACATCCTTGTCAACACTTGTTGAGAAAACGCCCATGCTTTTAATAGAGTTATATGAGGTAAAGCTGAAGGAGAAGACTTGCTAGTCACCTATTGCCTGCAGAGTGGCCATGCTCTACCTGTAGAAGTTCAGCTCCCCACCAGTTGACAGAGAATGTGGCCGTCTGCCTGTCACTCTGAACTGTACTGTGCCTCTAGTTTCCACATAAAAATTCTACCATGTCGGAACATTGACTTTGAGGGAAAAAGGAAAAACTAAACACTCTATGATTTAGTGATACATGTATATATATTAAAAGGTAAGGAGAAATGAGAAAATGCACATATAAGGCACAGGAACGTTAGGCACTATTCCTGATGCTAGGTACCGTGTGGGCTGGGGAAGGGGAGAGGAACACCATGGTATGGGTCATGTTCCAGTTTTAAGTTGGGTGCTGTTTTCTTGGTGCTTTTTACCTCTATAAATTACATATATTCTTTTGTATATATAATAGTATGTAATTTGCATTTTAAATCTTAAACCTGTAACTTTTATTCCTTAGTACTCTGGCCCTACATGTTGGCCAAAGGTCTGGACCTGGTCTGAAATTTCAAATGGTATAGTCTGAGGCATAAAAAAAAAGGGGGACTGAGTTTTATAAAACTAAATTTATTCAATTTCAAGGATTGTATGTGTTCTTCAATTATGACCTTTGTCATTTGGTGTTAGAAATAAAATCGTAGAGTTAAAGGAGCACTGCTTATTGTCTTGTTTTATTGTACTTAGACATGGCAAACAGAAGAAAGTGGGTGACCTTGTATAAGGTCATTACCATTAAAAGATATTTTCACTAGTCCTTAAAATGAAAAATTCTAGGAATTATTGCCTAGGAAAACACCAGCCACCTCTTACTACATCCAGTAGCCAAATACCAAGGCTGATGATACTCAAAATGGTGATTTCACTTTACTACCCTTTTCACAGAATGTATCTCTAATTTAGAAAGCTAATTCAAACAAAAGTATTAATTGGCCCTATCAAAAGACATGAATAAATTTGAATTACTCAGTATTGACATACTCTAAGCTCAGAGGAGCCAGATTCTCAAATATCAGTTAATGATAATCATAATTGACGTTTATTGAGCACTTACTCTACCATTGGTTATTTTGTATAGATTGTTGTACTTAACCTTCAGAAATGTTATTATTCCCATTTAACTGATAACTATAAATTTCACTACTGTCTTGCTCAGCATCACATAAGAAGAAAGGGAGGTGGAATCCAAAACCAGTTTGGCAGTTTGACACTACATCAACACTCTCAACTGTCTACCAAACGTGGCATCACTGTTGAAAGCCAAATGCTAGGGGTTGCAAAATATGTACTGAGCACTGAATTCAGAACTCAGCCCTCTGTCATGCTTCTTGAACTCTCTGAAATTTAAGGAGGTCAGATCATACAGCTTGAATAGGGAATTCTAAGCTCATTGGAAATATTACTATTTCACCATTGTAGCCTCCAAGTCCATGTGTAAGCAGTGACCTAATCGCGCCTATTTTTTTGCATCCCTATGGGACATTAACAAAACGCATTGTGTAAATTCAATTGGAGGAAAAGATTGGGGAAGAAGGGAGGAGTTCCAAGCAAACTCCAGTAACCGGTGGCTGTGGTGTCATGGGGACAGTGAGGAAGGTGGTTTAGCTTCCAGCTAGAAGGCGTGAGGGGAGTAGAGGCATCAGAAGACAGCAGAGTAAAGGATTTTGTTAAAAGAACTTAAAAGCAAGTGGGTAGCAATCAGAGATACATGAGTCTCCTCATAGAAGTATAAAGGAAAGGCAGAAGAAAGTTCAGAGTACTTCAAGATAGTGTTGTCTGGGTCGAGGAGAAAGGAGAAAATGCACATATAAGGCAATGAGTTCTAATTCACATTGTAATAAAATGAAAGCTTCGAACTAGTCTTCTTTTTTTTAATCATTTCTAGATTCTTTATCTCTCTTCACATCTGTCTGTGAACATTTGCCAGAATTCTTTCTTATTCATACATTTTCTCTCCCAGCATTTCAAAATATTTATCCTTAAGAATTTCACACAATTTCCCCCTCCCTAGCAAGGACAGAACTCCCTTTTCTCTTCACCTCCTTCTGTTATTCTCTCCTGTCCTCCCATCTCTTCTTGTGTTAGCTGCCTATTACTCTATAACAAGTCACCCAGAACAAAGTGTCTTAAAACAATAAAGTATTATTATTGTCTCTCAGTCTCATGAAATGACTAAGTTCAGCTTAGAGAGAGGGTGGGTCTCTCTCTAAGGCATTTCATTGAATTGTAGTAAGGGGTGGCTGGGTATGAGTCACCCAAAAGTTCCATTGGATTGGACACCTAAAATGGCATCTTCATGACATGTCTGGTGCCTCAACTGAGATGGCTGGGGACTTATGAGATTCTTCTCTCCCTCCCGCCTTCCTCTCCATCTCCCTGCCTCTCCATGCACCACACAGTCTCTCCACACCAGTAGCTTGGGCTTCCTCACAGCATGGAGGTTTCAGAGTAGTTGGACTCCATACATTGTAGACATCTTTCCCCACACAAGCATGCCAAGAAACACAAGTGGAAGGAAGTTTAAAACTTATGATCTAGCCTAGAAAGTCATTCAGCATCATCATTTGCTGCATTTTGTTTGTCCAGAGAAGGTCACAGGGCCATCCCTGAACCACCCCAGGGGAGGGAGACCACCCAGTGGTGTGAATACAAGAAGGTATGATATATTGGGATTGGTCCATCGCTCCAAAGACTAGCTACCACATTTCTCATTTATTGACATTTCTGTCCCTTACTCTGCTCCTTTTAAGTGAAATATCTTGTTACTATCTTATATCTTGGTTCACATTTATATTTTTCTTTCTAATTGTTAAGAGCAATTGAAAGACTTCTTTGAGGAGTTCTTAAGCATTCTCTCAAGCAAATCTTAAGAATATATTTTCATTCAGTGACATAAAAATTTAAGCACCCAAAAGGCCCTATAGAAAAGCTGTGTGACTATTTTGTAGAAAGTCTCTTTGGGAAATCAGATTTGATTCACTTTTAAACACCGATGATAACATATCAAACTTAAAAGGCAGATCAGTTTTAGGGAAAAGTGATACACCATCATGTGTGGGTGGCCTTGGGTGAACTCCCTAACAATATTGCTTTTCATGGTTAGCCACTAATTAGAAAACCTGCTCTCTTGTTGGGACTGAACCATGGTTTACTTTCTGGTGAGATCTTTTTTTACTTATATTCAAGCTCTTACATAAGCCAAAGCTTGTCCCTTTGTAAACCTGCTCGCCATCCCCCCACCACCAAAAAAATTGAAAAAAAAAAGCACGAGATAGAGGAAGAGATAACTTGAATCTAAAAGATTTGTTGCATAGTCACATGGTAATTTCAGAAATTATTTAAAACCTCATACCTATAGATGGCTTAACTTTTCCTAGCTTCTGCAAATGCCATTCAGGTCTTAGGTTCTTGTAAAGAGTTATTGGCTTTTTTTTTTTTTTTTCTCGCTTAAAGAAGCTAAATCCCCAAAGCTTTTCTCTGGTGATTATGAAGAATAACACATGTTGGAGAAAGTGGGCAGTTGGAGGTAGCAAATAATTAGATTTTTTTTCTGCCCACAAGCACTGGGAAAACTTTGCTATAAAGGACTAATTTGCTCCTGAGATTTCACTGTGGTTGCCTTTAAGAAAAAAAGTAACAAGGACAGCAGGCCAGAAGCATTCCTGAAGTCTGGGGAACAGTCTAGGGTTGATGGTGGGAAGTAGATCACTTCTTTCTTCTCTACAATCATTATGAGTTAAGCATCTGAGGTTGATATCATGTCTCTCACACAGACTCTATATAGACATCTGATGGCTGACTGAAAAATGATAATTAGTAGTTGTAGTTTTTCATGATTTGTCTGCTCTTCAAGCAGGGAAAAGATTTCATTTTTAAAAAAAAGCTTTTATACTCATTCCTTTCCCAGTTTTAAGAAAAGCATCAGAAAATAGCAGGTCAACCCATTAGTGATTTGCTTCCACATCTCTGTTTTCACACTTGGGATCTACATGCAGATTAAGTGGAGACTCCAGTAGCTTCACAGCGCAATGGGTCCCTCCCTGCTGCACCCTGCCCCAGTCCTTCAGGTCCCACCAGCAGGACGGGGACAGAGAACTTTGGTTAGGGCAACTTTTCTATGAAGCTTCACCCTCAGCCCTTTAACAGAAAGTTCCACAGAACAGCAGCAGGTACAATTTGAGACACTTGGAGCTTCAGGCCCAGGCAAAATGCACTGCTTGTCGCCCTTCCCACCAGCACAACGCCTCCCAGGTGGGCTCAGGGCCACCCTTGGTCACATCCACTGCTGATGGGGTGAGATGGACAGACCTGTGGGGAAGGGCCAAAGCAGCAGAAAGGAAACGGGGCTAGGAGGGGCTGATGGCCGGGATTGCCAGACACATTCTTAGTCACTGTTTTCTAAATTCTCACAACTCCCCTTTGAAGTCATACTGTTCCCGTTTGTTTTTTTGTTTTGTTTTGTTTTGTTTTGTTTTTGCAGATGAAGAAACCTGAAGCCAAGTATTTAAATAGCTTGCTTTCATGCAACTTAGTCAAACTAGAGTATTTAAAGTATTTAAATGAAATAAAATCTAAGGACTTTATTTAATCCTTGGGTAAAATAAAAGATTTTAATCCCAGCCTGCCTGACGGCCTAGCCAATTTTCTTCCCACCACCCCAGTCCCTCTAATACACCATTGATAACCTGTAATCCACTTATGAATTAAAATGAGAGACTTTCTTTTGAGGTGAGCCTGTGGCACTTAGTCAAGTAACAATAGTTGTCACTCTCTCTTGTTTAATCTTATAGTGGAGTACGACAAGGAGTTCTCCCCTCGCCAGCGACACCACAAAGAGTTCAAGTTCAACTTATCCCAGATTCCTGAGGGTGAGGCGGTGACGGCTGCAGAATTCCGAATCTACAAGGACTGTGTTGTGGGGAGTTTTAAAAACCAAACTTTTCTTATCAGCATTTATCAAGTCTTACAGGAGCATCAGCACAGGTATGAAGGCTCAAGGAAGCCCAAAGGGTGGGGCTGGCCCCCATTTCTCACCCTGTCATCACATAACACCCAATGTGTCTGTGGACAGTGCTTTGGAGCTCAGGGCTTGCACATGAGCGTAATAATGAGTGTGTTCTAAATGGCAGTGTTTAGCCAGTAGGAGGATTTTTTGCTAATAAGTTGAAGACTTTCCAAATGGTTTTCTTTTCTTAAGCAAGCCAGTAGACCGTATTTACTAAACATCCTCTGTGATCAGAGAACATATGACTTACTGGGGATAAAATGTTTCCCGCTATTGCTTAGTCCCTACTTTGAATGACGGGTCAGGGTGGCTAAAATAAATTCACGCATGAAAATTATGTAAGGATGCTTACAAATGATACTAATTCAGATGACTAGAAGGCTATGTATTTGTGCATATTATATATACATCTACATATTACGTGTGAGATATGTCTGAGTAAATGAGTGTGTGTACATGTGTGTGCATCAAATGTATTTCTTATCATTTGAATACAAGGGAATGGTAGATGTTTTTTCTGTGTCTGCATTAGTCTTATTTCCTGAAATGAGGCCAAATCATTTTATAAAAGAACTGCAATGAAGTACATTCATGTGGCTTGCTCCATGAACAAAAAGAACAAACTTTCATGGAGTGATGTTTGGAGCAAGGGCTAAGGATGAAGGATTACAGCAGTTAGTTCAAACCTATAGCACACAGAAAACAAGCCAATAACCCTGAATTTTGCTTATTATTTAGAGGTCAGTTTAATGGTTTGGGGAGGGTGGAGCATCTGACACACAGGTGAGCACTGCATATGCTGAGTGTGCATGACGTGGGGGCGCAGCGTGTGGCACGACAGCCTGGCAGTCAGATGGTAGGTGCGAAGATAAACGCTAAAGGGAGAGCATACAGACAGGGAGGGAACCCCCACTTACAGACTCTGCAAGGGATTTGCCAGCTTTGACTTTATAAACCAAGTCCACATTCTTGCTTTTGGTCTTGAAAGTCTATTAACTTCCCAAGAATGTCCTAAGGTTTAGGAATGACTTTAGTTTATCCTGAAATTATAAATCTGTGTATGGGTCTGTCATAAATATGCACACTAGAATAATAACAAATGTTAACTTGTCCCATAAAAGGTTTATTTTAGTTTTGAGAGCACTGTCAACATTTGGCCCTTATGCATATTCAAATCTCTAAGGGGGGAAATAAAGAAGGGGAAGGACACTTGCCAGGTTTTGGGGACACATCATAGTGTTCAACATACACACTGATGGTTGTATGTGAATTCTCGCTGGAATAGTAAAATTATAAATAAAATATAGTCATTGTGGTGTTTTTGTAACAGACCAAAATTTCAGAATGAATGGGAAGTTTTCTGAGGTCTTATTTTCATTCCTTCATAAAAGTATATGCAGTGACTTAGCAATTATAAGGGCCTCTTTTGAAAAGTGTATTATTTGTTGCTAGATTTTCATCTTTCAATACTTCAGAGAGAATTGGTGTTCAGTGATTCTTTGAAACTACTTTAGCCATTGATTTTCAATCTGCCTAATTATTTGTCCCATTATATTTTTCTGGTAGAAATAGCCTCCTGGTACCTTTTTGGCTCAGAACTTTGTTCAGAATACATCGTTTTCTCTGTCCTGCAGGAAAAGCTTTATAGTGAAAACACTGGATTGGGGGTTTTATGACTATACAACTTTTTTAATTATTATTTTTAAAAAGAGAGCTAGCAGACCATTTGTAAGGTTTATATTGAACTTCAGCCAAAAATGAACAGCTGCCTTGTGCTTAAAATGGTGGTGTCATACTTCCTCGAGGCCAGCAGTGAGTTTGGAAAACAAAGTCTCAAACTGTCCCAACCTTTGATGGCTCTCTGTCAAAGCAGAGTTGTAATTTCTCTGCCTTCTAGGATGGGGATATTTGGCGATTAGATGTGTTTAATTTTATGCACAGGAAAGGGAAAATACTGGGAGGATTGGGAGAATTTCATGCTTTTGAAGGGTTCCAGGTTGGCCAGGGGGAGAGGTTTTTTTCTTATCGGTGGGCCAGGAGCCCGGGCCTCCTGCTGTCTCCTCATGTCCTTCCAGAGGCTCCAGATTTAACTGCAGGACTCCTGGGGGAGGTTTGATCTCCCCATCTGTACCGTCTTGGGGTGTCTTGGCTGAAAACGATTCTCCAGGCTTGTAAAGAAACTTATTTGTCTAATCTGTGTTCCAGTGAAATTTGTAGTATGTGATGGATTAACTTAATTTAACAAATGTTTGTGTTGCAAAATAGTTGGCTTCCTTGCAAAAGGAAAAAAAAAAGGCAGGTTTTTCAATGCCCTCATATACTCAGCTGAGCAGAATAAGTTATGCATTGGGCCTCCTCACATAAAGGAACGGTCAGAAAAGATTCTTGGAAGCTAGGCCATTGCTGAGATCCCTACAGAAACATATTCCTAAGGCTGATAAGAAATCGTTGGACCAGGTAAGTTCAAAAAATGACTACTTATATAGATGGTGCTTTGAGTAAGAACAGGAAAACATTTGATGCTTTATTCAAAACCTGAGAATAAGCCCTGAGATGGAATCTAAGTCTTGAAAAGGTCTGAGCAGAGTGGGATCAACCAGCAGCAGTGAGCACACTAAACCAGAGGAGCAGAGATGCTTCCGCACTTGATTTGTCAACGTACCCTATGCTGTGGTGTGCTGTGTATACTATAAGATGAGTTTGGTGTTAACATCTGGTGTTATAAATCATTATGTTTTTATGAAGATACTGGAAAAATTTATCATTTACATAGTACTTAGAGTTAGGAAAGGACCTTCTCATATATTCCCTCACTAGAGTTTAACCATGATACCATCAGATAAGCAGGTCAGACATATTACCTATCAGAGAATGCAACGTTGTCACAGGTGCATATTATCAAGTCCAAAATATGCCTAAACTTTTGTCTGCCAGGCTTCCCAAAAGTCACCCCGATGACATGGGGACAGTTCCTACTGGCATGCTCCACATCTCCATCTCCTTAGCTTTGATGAGAACATCCTAATGATGTTTCTGTTTGGATGACAAGAGAAGAGAGGCACTTCTCCTGGGGATGAAAATGTGTCTGTCAGGCCCTGGTACATTGACTCTGAAGGTGTTCCTATGGAAAACCTTTGCAAACCTTTGTTGATCTATGGATCAAATGACTTACTGATCAAACTTTGATCTACTAGCAGTTTTTCTAGAGGAGAGGTATGAAGGGAAGAAAGACTAAATTTATACAGAAATATTTGTACTTATTCACAGTATTATACATTTGTCTATTTACTTCACCGTTTTCTACTACATCTCATACACAGTAAGCTGTCTTCACATCGGGAGTGTAAAGGCTGTTCTAAGTAACTTTTGACCTTCCCTCTTCATGTATGGTAGCATCATGGTAACATGTTGCTTGTCATAACATATATTCGTAATCTTTACTTCTATAGCACCTTCAGTTTAAGAGTGCAATTCAGAGGCCTTTAAAGGATATCATGTTTATCTATATTTCTTATTTGGCTAAAGACATACTCATACTGGTTTTAATTGATTTTGTATACTTAGAAGTCAAAGAGCATCTCCTGAGAGCCAGGCAGAAATTTTAACAGAGGAACACATTTAGTGTCTGAAAGATTGTCCTGTTTGGTACATGAATGGACCACACTTGACTCTGGTAGTTTTGAAATGCCATGAGCTATTCCATGTTTTAGTGATTGCACTGCTTGGTAGTGATAGTCTATCTTCTGTGTATATGACTTTTCCCCTGTTCTCTCATGATGCATTTAAAGTAAGAAATAGTTACCAAATTCAAAATTCATTAGTCCTGATAAAGCAGTACTACAAATTATTCCTCTGTTTGCAAACAGGCAAATTTATTTATTTTTAATTGTATATATATTTTTGAGTTTGGTTACTACAGGGTAGGGCAAACATAGGTTTACAGTTGTGAGTATGCAAATCACAGTTTATTCTTATCTTATTATTTATTAATTATTGTATTATTTTCCATATGAACAACTGTAAACCTATGTTTTCCCCATCCTGTACGTTTTATCTTAACTTCAGAATCCTTAGGATGTAAAAAAATACATCTCTGAATCAAGGAAACAGGGCAGGGCTGCTGTAGAGTTGGTCTTCAAAACTGAGAAAGATTTCCTTAGGATATCCCTGAAGCCATGCCGTGGGGTCCCAGGAGAAATCACAGACTGAAGTATGGCTAAAACTAAATTTTTGACAAAATTCACCAGTTCTGATCTTTTTTACAGATAGTATATAATTGTTCCACTAGAGAAAATAACTGTCAAAGGGAAAATTATGCATTTTCCCAAAACGTTTCATTTGATATGCTACTCTGAACCGCTCACCCAGGAACCACAAGAGTAAGTGAGGAAGAGGGATAGAGATGAGTTCTGGTTGGGACGTGTTTGAGTCATGGCGGGGATGCCCAGGAGGCAGTGGGCTGTGGCGGTGCTGAGCTCAGCAGGGCGAACTAAACTATACTGTAGATATTTGAATTCATATGTGAGATATTGAAGTTGATCAGATATCCCAGCTGTGTAAGAATAGAAAAACCAAAAGGACCCAGTACAATTTATTGAAAGTAGTTTTCATTTTCATTATACTTCTGTGGCACCTTTGTCCTAAATCAGGTGATATCATATGCATGGGTCTGTTTCTGGGATCTTTATTTTGTTCCGTTGGTTAATTTTCTCTTCTACCAATACTGTACCTTTAATTCTTTTAGTTTTTAAAGAAGTCTCTGTGTCTATGGGTAAGTTCTCTAACTCTATTCCTTGAGATTTCCTTGCCTATGTATGAACCTTTGCATTTCCATATAAATTGTAAAATAGGCATTTCAATTTCCACAAAAGAAAACTGATGGGCTTTTGATTGGAATTGTATTAAATCTAGGAATTTATTTGGGAAGAATTGACTCTTACCAATATTGAGTGTTCTAATCCAAGAATATGGTATTTAT